AAAAAAAACATGAAGTTGGACAGGAGACCCTTCTCCTCGTCACTTTCAAGCGGGGAATCAAAACCATGCCATTTGACTCAATGACACACCTTTATGATCCAATGCACACATGTTAAACCATTCTGCCACACAACCCCAATATACATGTATATGATTATGTAAAAAATATGTGTAACTTGAATATCATGGTCACTTGTATTAGAATGTCATCAATTATTCAATAAATAGCTGGTCATTTAAAACAATGAATTTTAGATGTATAGAGTTATAAATAATATGATCCCTTGTTTATAATGTCATCAATTTACACAAGACAATCAATAATGATATTGTATTATGTTATAGTAATTTTGTTTTTCATTAAGATAAAAGTATTAGCATGTTTGTTATTACAATGATAATTATAATTGAAGTGGAAATATCAGATGTTAAAATAAATAATTAAAGTGGGAATATATCATGTAGGTTAACAATGAAAATAGTTAAAGTGGACAAACCAAAGCTTTTTTTAAAGATACATTATGTAAGATTTAGATTAAGAGCTGGCCATTCTTACTATAATAGTTCGAAAATGAATAATGCAAAATTAATTTATTGAAAATTTCATTCAAATTGCTCCATTGTGAGTGAAGATATGAGCTTTTGAAGGTTTGACAATACTGGTTGTTCGAAGCTTAGCCTCGCTTCAGCATTTTTAGATTAAATCAAAATATGGCTGAACCGTTCTAATCTACTTAATGTCGGAGATATCTGATGACATCGAGAGTTGATTATTGTCTTTTCATGTTAAAAGTTTAATTAATAGTTTACATAACATATCAGGCATGAAAGAAAGACCTGCAATAAGCAGATTTAGTTCTTGCATAACGTATGTTTAACTAAGATATTTTCTTGGTAGTTTTTGTAGTTGTTTTTTTTTTTTACAGTGATTTTATATCAGTCTCTACTTGATATTATTTGGGGAATAGGGAGAAAATTAGATTAGTCAAAAGATGGGTTTCACTTTAAGTTTTAAAAATTTGCTAGTTGGACATTTCTAGTTTGGGTTAACAATAACAGAGGCTGGACCACTATAAGTTGTTAGCTTCAGGAAATAGGGTCATAAAACTGCCATTTCCTTTAAAATAAACTTCAACTACAAATATATCTTATGTACTATGACCAGGCCCCGAGTACACAAAGCATTCTCAGACTTAAGTTGAGAATTTACTCAAACTTGTTTGCCTTAATTTAACTTAAATATAGCCCTTTATAAAACTTTTGTCGTTTTAATGTATCAGATATATCAATAAGAAACTATGTACAAAGTTTTGTGTTTCTGCATCAAAGATATTTCTCATAAACAGAGATTGAAAGTTGAGCAAATTCTCAACTAATGTCTGAGAATGCTTTGTGAACTCAGGGCCTGCAGGGCTCACACTGTCAGTCGCAATTTATGATAGAAATATGAAAGTGGCGATTAAAATTTGATTTTTGCCATAATATTTTGGGGTACTGTTCGAGAACTGGTGTAAAAAAAAATCTGATCGTATATATCCTAGATTAAAGATACATTATGTAAGATTTAGATAAAAAGCTGAGAGAGAGAGAGAGAAATGGGGTTTAACGTCCACTCAACACAAATTAGGTCATTTCGGGACAAACACATGGTTCAATTTTATTTCAATAATTCGCTTGTGCGTAGGGGTCTTTAGCAGTGGGAGGAAACCGGAGGACCCGGAGAAAACCCACGAGGTCGGACAGGCGACCCTACTCCTTGCCACGTACAACAGGGGAATCGAAACCCCGCCAGTTGACTCAATGACAGACCGTATGATACAGCGCACCCGTGCTAACCATTCGGCCATCCAACCCCCCCCAGATAAAGAGCTGAACATTCTTGCTATATAGCTCAAAAATAGATAATGTAAAATGAAAATATTGATAATTTCATTCAAATTACTTCATTCTGAGCCAAGTTATCACTGTTTGTAGTTTTGACAAGATGTGTGCATAGTAGTAACCAGGGCACTGGTATATTTGAAACTTAGCCTCGCTTTCTCACTTTTAAATTAAATTTTTATATGGAGAACCGTTCTAATCTAGTTGAAATCTCGAGTATCCAATGCCATCAAGAGTTGATTATGGTCTGGTTTTGTTAATAAATGTCTAATTAATAGTTTATATAACATTTCAGGCCTAAAGAAAGACCTGCAAAAGGCAGATTTAGCTCTTGCATAATGTACCATTACATTGAATGTGACGGCATACTATATATTAATCAACTCGCTGATAATCCGGATCGTGTCAATGAGATAATTGCCAACGATATATGTAAAGCCTATCTCAAGTCATTATTAATCCAAGCGGTGATTATTTGATGTTTCGTTTCGTCTTTAAAAAAATGGAATTCCCTTTACTATGACTTCATATGGCATGTAAAATATACAGGCATGCCTAATCAGATATTTTTATTTCAAATTATATTATCACCATTGGCAAGTATGAGTCGAATAGCGACAATTCTCGAGTGAGAAAACGGTCCGCCATTTGCTTCTTATTACCACCGCCAAAATGCTCTAAAATTACAGATATTGGCCTATTGTACACGGCAAACATATTTTCATAGAAAATTGGCTATCCTTGCATGAGAATGACATGTAAATACTGAAAATATATTGTGCAATATGTGTGCAAATAGACTAAAATCACCCAAAATAAAATGTGATCTTAGTAAATCATCTCAAAACTGGGCTAATGTATTATGTATTATGTAAAGACAGATTTTTAAAGTTGTTGTATATTGTAATTATATTGGTAATTGTTTTATAATAGGCCCACATGAGAAATAAAATTGTTGCATGTTGTCTTTTTCATCATACATTTTTGGCAGATATAATATTCCGGTGGCAGAAAAAAATATTAAACATTTATATAGGTAAAAATTATCATCCAATTTGGCGAAGAGAAATTGATGCCACATTTATGATGTATGATATATTTCATATACAAGAGAAAGATATTGGGTTTAAAGTCCTCTCAACAAACTAGGCCACTTTGGAACTAACATATGACTCAATTTTATTTCAATAATTCGCTTACGCAGCATGGTCTTTAGCAGTGGGAGGAAACCGGAGAAAACCCACGAGGTTGGACAGGCGACCCTACTCCTTGTCACATACAACCAGGGAATCGAAACTACAACACTTGACTCAATGACAGACTTTATGATCTATATTTTTCATACAACAAACAGTTTCAATTTACAAGTGTGTCAGATAATGCAAACTTCTTTGAATGAGACGACAATACACTAAAGATAACCATATGCAAGTTCAAAAGTCCATAACGCCCAATAATACTGAAAATTGTCTACAAATTATTATTAATATTATTAAAATCCCGATACCTAACAGATTCTCACTTTAAATATGGCCATCTATCAGACATTCTCTCAAGAAGTTTTATAGCCAAATCTGGTATATTTTTAATAAATAATTTTTATACGTTCACACATTCATAATGTGGAAGTATATTGTTAAAACATATTATTATCATTATATGTTAAATATATAATATTAAACCATACAAAAGAGACAAAAAGTAAAAATAGTTTTAAATTCTTGCGCTATAAGTTATTGATAATTGAAGACCTACAAATTCGTTATAATCTCTTAGAGAGAGCACAAAGCAAATGAAATGAAATGAAATGGGGTTTAACGTCCTACTGTTTTGCTCCAAACTGGGCTAATGAAGACGGGCATACGCCATACAGTGTGCTATGAGGGAAATTTTGTCCGGACAGCGGCACTACGGCCTACTCTTATATCGAATTCCAACTGTCAAGGGATCTTTTACGTGCACGCCAATGTGTACACGGGACCTCGGTTTTTCGTCTCATCCGAATGACTAGACAGCTGTCCTTGTCAGGCCCTCCGTCCTGCATCACTGACAAGCAAAGCAACTACATGTATTTTAGCTGCTGTTGTACAGATTACATTTACTAGTAAAATATAACTATTAATATTGCAATATATGTTACAGCAGTATGATAATTTGTTGGGTGTATGTATTGTAATTTTTTTTATTAACATCCATTCTTTTGTAGTCTAACAGCGCACTATATGTATATCCAGCATTGGTTGAAGCATGAATTATTAGGAGAGCCAAAAATTATGATACCACATTAATTACCAGTTTTTAGTTTATATGCAATTGCATTGACTTGTACATGTATGTATTCAATAATAACCTAAAAACACTGGACACCAATATCAACACACTGATCAAAAGTAAATATTTGCTAGTCCACTACAGTCACTCATAGGGATGACATCGATGCGGCTTAATGAGCCCCCAATATTAACTTTTTTCTATCTGCAAATTGAAATTCTAGAACATTTTCTTGAAGCATAGAAAAATAAATAAAGATGTTTCAGGTATATGTCGGTAAAAAGTATTTCCTAATTAGTGTAAATTCATATGAAAAATGAGTAAAATGCACCATTATGCCCAGATTAGTAGCATCTTATGTAAACAATGCACCCGCCATTAAGCCAATGATTGACGCCGCATGATGTGACGTCACATGATAAAGCAGTCATATTTTACAGGGCTATTTTTAGTCCTCGCAATACCTCTGTGAATACCTTCGGCTTTTAAGTGTTGGCAAAATGAGAACTGTACCGTAGTTAAAAGTTCTGCGGTGTCTTCAGTCAGATGTAGAATTTCAGAGGGGAGGGAGTTGATGCAAACGCAGAGATTGACTCAGATATTTCCAAAACTGGAAATAACGCACCTGTCACAGACATTATCTGGCATAATCTTTCTGCTTGGTGTTGGTCATTTTGCCGGCATTGATTTGTCGTTATATATGTCCAGTACAGATTAATATTCAACCTAGCGGACTCCCACTCTGATTCTATCTTTCGAAGCTAGCAAAATGCCAGGTACTAATTGTCATGTACAAATAAAATGATTGCTCCCAGGCCTGGGCTGGGTATCCCATAGTTCTTACTCACCGCCTACTGGAACAATAGCTGAACTAAAGGGAGCCATTTTACCATAAGGCCCATAATCCTCACGGCTATGATAATTACCGTCTGTATGATCAGCAGAAGAAGAAGGGGTAGACATACCTGGCTCTTGATCTGCAGTAAAAGGTTCTACTTTAGTTGACATTATTGATTCGATAATATTTTTCCTTTCCTTTCAAAACTCTGATTAGTTCTTCCTTGTACTTTTGATTTAGATCAAAAATTCTTTCAGTATTTAAAACTGCTTTCCTGATGTACTTCTAAGACCTATTTCAGAATTCAATTTCAAATAGAGACAGTAATCCAAACCTTTAATCCTATTCTTGTTTTAAAGAATCTGTATAGTTTAATTTTTCTATACAAATAAAACAACCTTTAGATGTAGGCTTACAAATAAAATTCCAAGATCAAACACCTACAATCCTATCTTTTTAAGAACCTGTATTTTAATTATTTCTTTTAACAAATAAAAAAACCCTTAAGATGTAGGCTACAAGGCCATTATAAAACCCAATTATAAATACCAGCTATTATACCTTCTAAACGTATGTCACTGTTGTTTATGAATTTGTTGTACTGGGACATTTACAATTTCACTGCTTAAGTTTAAAGTAATAGTTCTAATAGTCACCAAGTCTTCATTCACAGAAAAAGTTCAAATAGTCCTCCACCTACTATTTATAAACTAATAATAATAAGAAAAAAACATCAACTTTTATATATGTATGTATCCAGTTGATCTTTGTAACACTACACCATGATTTACCCACAATGATAAACTTACAACACAATCACGGGAGTAAAAATTCCCATTCTATCATGTGACAATTACCAAATAGATAAAACAATAGATAAGGACTCCACTCATCAACTATATTTCACAACAGGGATTGCAATTACAAATTGTGTCAGACGGTCAAATTGTCCCAAGTTAAATTTGTAGCATTATCCAAATTTTCGTTCTATTTTTACACATATTTATGTAAAACTATAAATTTAAGTGTTTTTATTTGTTGACGTTTAATTTGTTTTAGAAATTGTAATGTTATTCTAAAAATAAGTTTTCATGAATGAATATGATAGCAGTACAGAGCATATGTGAAATGACATAACTAGGCTACTCAGTCAATATAAATAAACAGATAGATGTATCATGTAGACTAATACTAATACTTAATTTTTGCCAACATGCTTAATTGCTTATGTTAAAGAAACATTGCAACAACTGACATACCGCAACAAAACAAAAGTCTGAATTACTGTCTAATTTGAAAAAACCAATAACACCAAATCTATGAAATGAACAATATGCCTGGCATGAACTGAATAAGTCTAATTAATTACTAGTAAAACTAGTGTGGACTTTCAACAGGAAGTACTGGTTGCTAGGGGTAACACTATTACATAATCACAACTATGACATCATAAATATGGCTACTGACCATGGCAACATTCAACAAATCACAGCAAATGATGTAATTTAACAATTAATGACTTCATAGAATTATAGATTTTCTCTCCAGTTATTATTAATGAAGATTGTTGTTGTTGACCGGGTACCATATAACTCATATATTTACCATATATTTACTGTTGTAAAGCACTTATAATAACTCAACTTTAAATGACTGATACTGAGTGATAGGCCTACTGTCAGGATCAAAATCACCGGGGTTTTAAAAAGGCAAGGCTGTGTTGCATTCACATGTACTATAAGCCAAACCTTCGGTCAGAGGTTAGAGTTAACTATGCATGGGTAGTTTCATATTCTTTATTCGGTTCTTGCACGCTATCAATAACAAGGGCACTGCATCACGCCATCATTTTCCCTGGAATGTAACATACCACGGATTGCGCATGTCCAAAGCGAGCTGGAGCCGGGGGTTTTAAGCCAACCCATTCAGATGACCAAGATGAACCAGTTTATAATAAAAAGCCTTCTGGAAGACAGATCGCAATCTGGGGTTTTTAAACTGGTTTATTTGCCCCACATTTGGCGTTCAGGCGACCAAGTTAAACCGGTTTAACGATCCTCAGGGTTTTTAAACTAGTTCAACTTAAGCGTCGGAATGGGTTACATGGCTCTTAAGTCTTATCACTTTTAACTGGATTTTCGTTTTATATTCACCTGTTTCATTTTCATGATGCATAGGGCCTACCGTACTCTAAGGCCAATCAGATATGTGCAGATTTTGTTATGTGATAAGTTTACCATTGAATTTGGGAACAAACTGATGACTGGTCTGATGGCATTTTTATTATGATCTATTCCAGTATTTCTTAAAATATTTTCTAAACAATTGCGCTTGGTTGTGTCTCGTGGCAATATCTTGTTGGACTGTCTTACTTTTTGACTCTGGGAATATACCTACATACGGTTTAAAAAAAAACAGCATGCAAGCCACTGAGATAATAGAAATTTGTGTTGGATGGACATTAGAAACCATAAATTGTTATCTAGAGTAGAGAGAGAGAGAGAGAGAGAGAAATGGGGTTTAACGTCCACTCGACACAAACTAGGTCATTTCGGGACTAACGTATGATTTAATTTTATTTCAATAATTCACTTGCGTGTAGGGGTCTTTAGCAGTGGGAGAAAACCAGCGGACCTGGAGAAAACCCACGAAGTTGGACAGGCGACCCTACTCCTTGTCACGTACAACCGGGAATTCTAAACCTCGCCAGTTGACTCAATGACAGACCTTATGATACAGCGCGCACGTGCTAACCATTCGGCCATCCAACCCCCCCATTATCTAGAGTAGAATGATTATAACAACTGTATATTTTCAATTTCTACCTAGCATCTACCTTTCCCATACATAGGCCTATTTATAAGTAACAATGGAGTGTATATGGATGCTTGTTGTTTAAAAATTTATGATTTTGTTTAGGTGACAGAGTGGTCTAATGAGTGCACTCTACTACATGTACATCTGTCATTGAGTCAAGTGGCATATTTTCCATTCCCAAGCATGTACTTGATAATGTGTAGGTCACCTTCCTAATCTTATGGATTTTCTACGGGTCTTACCATTCCTAAAAACACTGTGTGCATGTCGCAAAATGACCTATTTTCTGTTAAGTGGATGCTAAACCCTATATTTCTCTCTCTTTTGTTTATGAAAGCTTAAATGGTGATAAGTTTAATAATTAAAAGACAAACTCAATCTAAATGGCCTTGACTTAATATTTTTATATTTTTGTTTTTATAGATGTCAAACATTAATTAAAACCCAAGGGTAAAAACATTCTGTTAATTAGGTTGGATAAATGTAATCTATCAAATTTCTTATACATGTCATATGATATAATCAATAAATATCATTTGTTGAATTGAACACTGTTTAATGTTTTGTCAACACAACACTTCGTTTATTTCTAACTAGATTTTTGTTATATTTCAGTCGTTAATTGAAATTCAATTTTTTATGACATCATGATTACAAGGTGCTGGATTAAAGTAGCTAAGTCTCTAACTCAATATCATCCAAAGTCTTTCACATTGAAAACACAAATTATTTGTTAATTTAAATCAACATTGATGTTGTGATCTTGTCGGGAAAAGATGGGTTTCTGATATCCAATATTTAAGACAAATCGTGTACCATAATGCGTTTCAGCGCCATTTGTAACATGGGACAAGAAAGAACAAGGCTAGACATTCCTCAAATCATGTCAAACGGTGACGCAATATTCTTATCTGGAGAGCATGCGCAATACACTGGAATAACCAAACGCTAGAGATTGCCACTCAATTGAGACTTCTGGTGTATCTCGCCGAACATAACTGATTTGAAATTAGAGTAAAAATGGAAACGGTTGAATGTAAATCAGTTTATTATATACATTCAGATTACATTTTTATATGCGTTGCGACCCATTCCTTGTCAATATCTAGGTTCCAAATACTAGCGATTTAGTTCCTTTAACTCCTTAAAATGTCCCCATATTCGAAAACTTTAGGCCCTCAGAAAATTTGGAAAAATAGATTTGAGTTGACGCATTCTGTGGTATATTATGCAAAATTTAAATAAAATAGAAATATTGAAGATTTAGTTGTATTAGAACATATAAGTACCGGTAGCTACTGTTTAGTTAACAGTTGCTTTAGTTGCTTTGGAAACAAAGATGGATGCTTTCATGAACATATCTAACTTTAATAAATACTTTAAAATCTCAAATTTCACAAGCAATTACTTCATTACCCACATAAAAGTTCTAAAAATAAATGAAAAAATTCAAAACTAGTAAATCTTCATTAAAGAGACAAAAATAATCTTACTTTTATCAGATATTCTCTCTTGTCTAGTAACTGACATTTTTAGTCTCCTTGGAACCTCCGTTAAATTTTATTATCTCTAAAATTTGAAACTTTTCTTATCAATGTGTTTTTCTTTAAGTTCTATAAATAGTTGAAGTTGATCGAGTTAAAATGAGAATTTACCAGGTATTTGAAACAGGTCTGTTTCTTGTTCAGCACTGTCTATCTGATTTTAACAGAATCATAAACATCAAAATGCTTCAATAAATTAAATATTTATATTCATCTTGGGCTAACTTTAAACATTTTGTAACTTACTGACGTATATTGGACGTTTATTACTCTAGCTTCAAAACATTATACTTTACAATATATGTAATTACACTAATAGGCGTATATTTGGGGGAAGTGGCATACCTAAGAGTTGTGCCGCCCGGGGCTGTCCTTGCATTAAACCTTTGATCATGCTTTCTTAATTAGTCATGCTTTCTTAATTGGTCATGCTTCCTTTATAAGTCATGCTTCCTTGAATAGTCATGCTTTCTTAATTGGTCACGCTTTCCTTCATCGCTTACCGGTACCTAAATTACTAAATTGGATGTTACAATCAGTAGACACAATTACTTTACCCAATCTACAGTAAACAAATGGAAATGAAACAAAACTGAAATAATATAGAATTTAATTTTTGAACTGAAATGAAATAAAATGAAATTCCAACAGTTTATTGTTCTTTCATGAACATACTTAAGTGTATACAGGACCTAGATTTTCCATCCCATCCAAACAACTAGATACTGTTCCTTGCCACTGTTTGTGCTGAACAACTAACAAGGGGAAACAAGGCTGGAATATAGAGTTACGACTGGTGTTATGTATGCAGCGTGGTATGGTTTACCTACCAATACCATCTACCACATCTGTATATACAGGGAGTTTGTTTTGACTATGTCTTATTAGGCAGTTTTCCTGCTTAAGCCTACAAACAATGGCGTCGATTTCGACTTTCACAACATGAACTATATGCTGCTGTTTTAACATCCTTTGATGTCGGGTTGATTTCCAACTACCGTTATTTTATACAATATTTTATAGTACTTAACTACGGAATGAGTTAACTATGTGAAACAGTATTAATTAGACAGGTGGCTTTATTTATAAACATTAACCAGGTTGAGATAGATTCTGTATCAGCCTCCTTATTGTGATTAACATTACCCAGGAGTTCTGGTATATCTTTTAATATGATTAGCAATGAAACATGAAATATAAAATAAATGAGGTTTAATGTCTTTCTTTTCTTCACCAGCGGAGCCAATGTAGCTACGAGAACGGAGCTAAAAACGCTGAGATATACTGATGTGCTTGCTTTTAGCTACGATTGGGAGCCTTTAGTTCCAAGTGGCAAACTCTTTAATAATGCAT